AGATAGTCTTTCACGTTTGTGGGTTAACCCTTCAAACTCCAGGCTTATTACACAGTCATTAAGGCTTATTACTCAGTAACAATCAATTACTCAGTAATCACTATGAAACTAATATGTTCAGTATGTAGCTATGAGAGTCAGGATTTTGAAAGGGAATTCCACTGATTTTTTAAAATTTCTGCATAATTAAATGGTTAAGATGTAAACAAAGTCATTCAGAGTGGTTTGATGTGAAATGCTACGTTCTAAAGAAAGAGTCAGAACTGTTCCCACTGGCTGTGTTTACATGCAAAGATTTTTGCCAATCCATTTGAATACATTCTGATTATAGATTAAGACTGAGGTGTTTATATGTTCATTCTACTCAACAATCTGACGAAAAATCTCTGTTTACATGCTCACTGCAAGTAATCCGATCCAAAATTACGTTCATGCGTAGAGTACCACTTAGTGTAGACGTTACCATGACAACAAACATCACGTGAGTCCAGTCAAAGTGAGATGAGCAGCAGTGAGCAGTGCTTGTGTTTTTAATTGCTTTAAAATGATGTCAGACTCAGGAAAACGTCCTTCAAACGTCCTTATTAAAGAAGACCGAGAGGAAGACGTCGTGTTCTGAGACACATAAGCTGGACGTCCGTCCCACCGCCGTCTTTTAAAGATCAGAGCATAAACTTCGTCTCCTCTGCAGACCAGTTTCTGCTCCGCCATGTTGAACGTTATAAACTTTCACTATGACGTGACGCACATGCGCAAAACATACTTTCCGATTGGGAGTGTAATCAGATACAGGCGTTTACATGGTTATTATTCTTCTATCTAACATATTATTTACAGGATTACCCACCTCGTTCAGTCGGATAGAAATTGTATTCCAAATGGCCTCAATCAGACTAGCCTATTCCGAGGTGTTTACATGGACATATTCTATTCCGATTGAGCTATTAGTTGGACTATTAACGGATCATTAGGCTGCATGTAAACATGGCTAGTGATGGTGACATAAACCAGACGTCTGAAGAGTTTAATGCCTCCCTCACAGAAAGCGATCACATGAAATGGTTATGAACCCACTGCCTCATGCCTCAGACATTGTTCTATGACAGCTTTGAGAAGTGTTCTTTTAAAATCTCGTCATGGCAGAGAGAGCTTACAAGGCATTGTAAGGCAAAGAAAACTTTTTTTTTTTTAATTTAGCAAATGTAGCACTATTTAACTCTGTTAATACTGTAATCTGTGATCAATCACTCTTTACAGAACTAACTCTCTGTGTGTTTTCCTTTCTTTGCAGAGTTGAACAGTTCCCCACCTTTTGCGGTCTGATGTTGTTGCTTCTTCTGCCTTGATCGGCCGGCCACTGCTCGCCAGCCTTCCGGACCATTTTGACCTCCATTGAGCTTCACGCTGTACAACGCTGAGCAAACCTCACCTTCATGAACTGACCCTCCTGCTGCTGCATAAACTCAAACTATCTAATTAACCATTGCTCCACCTGTTTTCCCCGTTTTTGTATTCTAATATTTTATACTAATGCTGTTTGCTATCCGGTGTCGACCAGAGGAGGATGAGTTCCCCTTTTGAGTCTTGGTCCCTCTCCAGGTCTCTTCCTCTTGTTTTTTGGGATTTTTTCCTTGCCACTGTTGCCATTGGTGATGCTCATGGGGGCTTGGACCCAGATTTATCTGCAAAGCTGCTTTGTGACAACATCTGTTGTAAAAAGCGCTATATAAATAAACTTTGACTTGACTTTGACTATTCTATCGTCATCAATATTACACATAAATGCTCAGAAGACGAGTACGTTCACTGATTGTTTTGGATACTTATTCACCATTGCAAAGAAGTCAGTATGCTTCTCTACAACAAACCATTTCACATCAAACCACTCTGAATGACTCTGATTACAACGCAGTGATTGAATTATGCGGAAATTATGAAAAATCGGTGGAGTTCCCCTTCAAGTTTGGACACGTCAGCAGGTCCTCCAACTCTGAAGTGTTAAGAAAGAAGTGAGTTAGTTTTGGATAGAAAAAGTTGATCCACTCCAGCATGATTTCTAATGTAACTGGTTATCGTGTCTCAGAGCTTGTGGAATATTTATTAGAGGTTCCTGCATTAGGAAGCAGATGAATTATGCTGATTCCTGCACTCGGACACACTCAGGCGTGCGCACACACACAGCTGGGCACCCTTGAGGTAAATGTTTATCTTCTGACTGAAGATGTTTGTGCAGACAGTAATTAAATTTCTGCCTGATCGATCAGAACTGAGTGCAGGAGGATACAGTCTCGAGTCTGGCCTCCTCTCCGCTGCACCAGCGTGTGTTCCTCATTAATGCTAGTAAAATGTGCTGCAGCTGTTGTGCTCTGCTGATGATGTAAGATGTTTACTTAGAGCTGATCAGACTGTGACACACCCATCTAAAGCCACTCACACACACAAAATACATACAGTCGTACGCAAAAGTTTGGGCGCCCCGGTCAAAGGACATGTTTTGTTGATTTTCTAAGTAAAAATAAGTTTCTACAGGGACCGGACATTCTAATGTACAGCGACTAATGATTTGCTGAATTTAACAAACCATAAAATGTAGCCTGTGCAAAAGTTATAGCACATTTTATATTTTATGTTTTATTTTTTATCCAATACATTAACCTTTTCAACTCCTTGGGACCACTGGTGGGTCCAAAACACATTTTGTCATATTCTTTATAACTTTAATATTTCATAAGCTTCATTCAGAAGGTGGGGGTCGTATGAGAGCTGTAACTCTCTTCTTTCCAGTCAAATAGATGGGTGATGTAATTTTAAACCCTTATAATAAAAGAAGCAGAACTCAAAATTTTTTTTGTCTACTGAAAGTCGACCCATTTTTCCACAAATCTGGGCTGTAAACTATAAACAGATTATCAGAAGAATAAAAAGAAAAAAAAAGAGTCCATGTATAGATGTAAGGAACTAAATCCGGGTCCAAGCCCCCCATGAGCAAGCCAGAGGCGACAGTGGCAAGGAAAAACTCCCTAGGAGTAAGAGGAAGAAGACGAGAGGAACCCAGGCTCAAGGGAGGAACCCATCCTCCTCAGGTCGACCCCGGATGAAGAGAGAATGACATAACTAACGAGATTTTATGACAAGACTGAAATCCACCACAAACATAAGACTGGATTAAAGGGGGCCTATTGTGCTTTTCCAGTGTGTTATAAAGCTTTTTGTGCATGTAAACATTCTGCAAAGTTACAAAGCTTAAAGTACATGCCAGAGGGAGAAACTCTCTCCCATAGAAACCACTTTTTCTCAGCTGCCCGAAACGCCTCGTTGGAATTTCAGCCCTTTTCCTTTGTTACAAGATGATGTAATCTCGTAACACAGTCCTTACCACCTACCAGCTTGCTCGGCACACCCTCACACGACGCACAGAAGCTACCGGAAGAGGAAAAGTGTGTTCAGAGTTGTAGCCGTGTGAAGAAAATGCTGACCAGACTTTCACTATCGACTCTGACTCAAACTGATACAACAAAAACGACATCACTGGAGAAACAGCCACAGCAGAGTTTACAGCTGCTCTGGAGAGAAGGGTCTGTCTGCAGACTGCAAGACAGGGGCGGAATGTGCAGGGGCAGAACTGCTCTGGCAGTTGACCAATCAGATCAGAGGAGCAAGCTGTCCAATCAGAACACACTGGGATCATCGGGAGGTGGGGCTTGAAGACACAGGCGTCCTAACGGAGCGTTTCAGACAGACGGTGAATAGAGATGGACAGTATGAGATACAAAATAATGTGTTTTTAGAACATTGAAGCATGTAAATCTATTCTAGACCCTCAAAATAAAAATTATGAACACTGAAAATGAGCATAATAGGTCCCCTTTAAAGTATTAAAATATGTTTTTATTATGTAAAAAAACTCCATAATGATTGATTTAACATAAACTGGGTGAAATGAATTGAAAATGTCACACCTATTCATCTTAATGTATTTCGCTGTTGTCGGAACAAAACCTTGTATCCAAAATGGTAAATTTACAGGAGAAGGAAAAAACATACTTTACTTTTAATGTAAGTCAATGGAACCAGACTTTTTTCCAAGTCATTTTGGGCCGTTTCTTCTGGTCCATTTTTCATGAACTTTACACACAATGTAAAGAGCGACAGGCATTTTCAAATCATGTCAGAAACTGAAAAACAACAAAAATGGAGATTTTGGCTACAAACATCTCCCTCAAACACTATGAATAGTTCTATATTCAGGAACAAAAACACATGCCGGGATAAGGACATGCTTTCTATGCATGTTTTAATTTTGATAATTATAAGGATGGAAATGGTAAAGTTGATGTCAAGATAAATTCCTACCATTCCTAACAGCCCAAATGTACTTTGAAGAAGCATTTTAATTTCAGTTGATGATATTAATGGTAACAGATAGGCGTCCTTTCCAGTATCACTATCACAAACTATCTAAGCTGCTTATCCACCTGGGTGGCGCCTTAACGTTATGTTACAGCTGGAATGAACTACTGGCACGCTTGTGAATATTTAGGACTCTATATTTTTTTAAGATTTGAAGTGTTAACAAATGAAATGTCATCCCAAAACAAGTTTAACATCATCCTATGCACTATTTTTATCCTCCCTGGGACGACTGGATGGGGTCAGTCTGAAACTTCACCATTTCATTGTCGAACTGCTACTTCAGTATAGCATTAATTTTAAATATTATAAGTCTGTCTGTGCCGCAAACAGTTTCTTCACAAGATACAATGAAAAGACATTCATCCTGCCCCTGTGTATAAAATGTATTGAAATCTGTCAGAATTAGGGCGCATATTAAAATTACATGCTGTTTTTTTTAAGGAAACGACATGAAAATAACTTCTTTATAAAAGTTTGATTGTGTTTTTAAATAGTGAAGGTACTTAATTATTGCTCTGTTCTACTGCTGTAATGAGAAGATGAGAAGGAGAAAGTCAGACGTTTAGCAAACACGTGAGACGACTCACCGCTTCGGTGTGGATGGGGTGGACGGCGAAGAGGAGCGCGGTGAGGAACGCCAGGCGGCTGTTCTTGAACACGTAACGTTCACACGTGTGCATGAGCAGGACGGTCACAGCGCAGTGCAAACACACATTCACCACGTGAAAATAAAACGGAGTCATACCACCCAGCAGAATATTCAACCTGCAGAGAGAGAGGGAGAGAGAGGGAGAGAGAGAGAGAGAGAGAGAGAGAGAGAGAGAGAGAGAGAGAGAGAGAGACAGTGATAGAGAGGGACACGGAGATAGACAGAGAGGGAGAGGGAGAGAGACACACAGAGAGAGAGAGAGAGAGAGAGAGAGAGAGAGAGGGAGAGAGACACAGAGAGAGAGAGAGAGATAGACAGAGACAGAGACGGAGAGAGAAAGACACAGAGAGGGACACAAAGAAAGAGAGAGAAAGCGACACAGATAGAGAGGGAGAGAGAAAGAGAGAAAGTCAGAGACACAGATGGAGAGACAAACAAAGAGGCGGACAGAGATAGATAGAGAGAGAGAGACGGGGAGAGAGAGAGCAACAGAGAGAGGGGGAGAGAGAGAAACAGAGAGAGGGAGAGGGAGAGAGAGAGCAACAGAGAGACACAGAGAGAGGGAGAGAGAGACAGAGAAAGACACAGAGATAGAGAGGGACATAAAGAAAGAGAGAGACAGAGAGACACAAAGAGAGACAGAAAGAGGGAAAGAGACACACAGAGAGATAGAGAGGGAGAGAGAGACACAGATAGAGAGGGAGAGAGAAAGCGAGAAAGACAGAGACAGATAGAGAGACACACAAAGAGGGGGACAGAGATAAATAGACAGAGATAGAGAAACAGAAAGAGACAGAGAAAGAAAGAAAGAAAGAAAGATATAAATATCAATATATTACCAAAGAAAAGACATCAGTCAGTGAAACACAAATGATCATAAATCATCAGTCAATGACGACACCACTGTGAGTATTTAAAAGCTGGTAAATATGAATAAATATAAATACAGAGAGAGCTGAGAGAAGGAGAGGAGAGAGAACAGAGGAGCGGTGTTGGTCACTGCTTTCAGTGTCAGCCTGACTGCAGAAGCTGAATAAAATCAAGTCCCAACAGCAGAAATTCTTTCATTCAGAACAAAGAGCACGAAACGAAGCCCAGATCAGACAGATAAGAGCAGCGACTGACAACATCTAACATACAGTACGCGAGGCTGGCATGAGCTCTCAGCTGAAATGCAATGTTAAGCCCACGCTGCTGGATATTTTGACCGCAGGGATCATTTAGAGAGAGAGAGAGAGAGAGAGAGAGAGAGAGAAGAAAATAATGGACAGGGTCAGAGACAGAGGAAGAGAGAAGAAGAAGAGTTAAAAATAATTAGTCTAACTGACGACTGCAACTGAACAGTAATGAGGTGCTGCAGGTCACCTTGGCTTGCAGATAGAACGAGGGGCTGTGCGCATGTGTAATGCGAAGAGAGCACGAGAGCATGAAAATCAGCCGCAGCAGCTTTAGGATGAAAAGTAACATCCATGAGTGAGATGATGCTGAACGACTGCATGGCTGGGAAACTTGAGGACATACTTAGTTATAAACCTTGTCCCTCTGCTGTATGAGTCAGAGAGCGTACCTGTCATCGGACATTTGGGTCTGCGCTAGCATCACGCTGCCTCTGAGGCAGAGAGCGAGAGAGGGAGAGAGGGAGTGGGAGAGAGGGAGACAGAACAAGCAAATGAACGACAAATGACAGCACTCCGACTGGGGGCAGAGACGGTGCCAGAGTTGGCGTGCGTGCCTGACGCCAATCTGCATGCGCGCAGTCAGCCAAGGCCTGCGTGTGAGAGAGAGAGAGAGAGAGGGAGGGGAGTGAGAGTGTATGCATTACAATCACTGCAGGACAACAGGAGAATACATCCGAGCTGCCCGTCACATCAGAGCGCAGCAAACAGCCCGTGTTTACTGATCGCCACCTCTCTGCAAAGAGCGGTCGGTCACACAGCGACGGAAAAGCTTTCAGCCCCGATTAACATCAGGCACACGTGTGGCGCTGTGTGAGCAAACAGACCAAAAAGCTACCAGCGGCTCAGGAAAACCAGCAGAGCTCGAACTATTAGAGTACACAGATTTCACAATATTTACATTTTACATTTATGGCGTTTGGCAGACGGTCTTATCCAGAGCGACTTACAGTGTGATCATTTTACACAGATAGGGGAATGTAGTGTTAGGAGTCTTGCCCAAGGACTCTTATTGGTATAGTGTAGGGTGCTTACCCAGGGAGGGGATTGAACCCCAGTCTACAGCGTAGAAGGCAAAGGTGTTACCCACTACACTATACCAACCACCCACGACACTATACCAACCACCCACAACACTATACCAACCACCCACTACACTATACCAACCACCCACAACACTATACCAACCACCCACGACACTATACCAACCACCCACTACACTATACCAACCACCCACGACATTATACCAACCACCCACGACACCATACCAACCACCCACTACACTATACCAACCACCCACTACACCATACCAACCACCCACGACACTATACCAACCACCCACTACACTATACCAACCACCCACGACATTATACCAACCACCCACGACACCATACCAACCACCCACTACACTATACCAACCACCCACTACACTATACCAACCACCCACTACACTATACCATGTGACATAACACATCACCATTTTTGCATCGTGATAAAATGTTTTTGATACTGAATTAGAAAAGAAATGCTAACAAAGTGTTTGACATATATTTATTTCCTTATTTCCTTCTTTATTTTCATTCCTTCCTTCTTTATTTCCTTCCTTCCTTATTTCCTTCTTTATTTCCTTCCTTATTTCCTTCTTTACTTCCTTCCTTCCTTCCTTATTTAACCTTCCGTTTTTGCATTATCATACAATGTTTTCAATACAATATTTTACATATCTTCATCAAACTTTGTGGAAAGCTTGTCTTTGTTCTTCTAGAAGTAATTATACTATAAACACTTCAGGTTCTGTTCATTTCCTTGAAAAAGCCAAGGTGTAGTGATCGATTTCATAAGGTGGCAACAATTTTGACCATAACTGTACATAACATATATTGTAATATAAACAACCACATGTCAAAAATTCCAAGACAGCACTTGGACTGCCTGAACGACATCCCTCTATAGCAGGAGTAAGTTCTGCCGTAAACATCAGTTAAAATGGCTGGTCGATTTGATCGATGGGAAAACTTGCAAGAAAACAAAATACATCTCGGTTTGCATCGGCGACCACTTCTGCAGCATAGACCACACCCGTTTTCGTCGACTGGAGATAGAAAAGATCACAGACCTTCTAGCCACAACGCAGACAGGAACGGAGCCCCAAGTCCTACTTTGTGTTTGGCACTGAGATGTTTTTTACAGGGTCACTCCGAAACCCGGTGGGTGACACTATTCAAGAACACAAGTCAACTGCGTGCGGAGAAGTAAGAGCAGCTCCATCAGTGCTCAGGCTGTGTGTGACGCTGACCTTATTATCATAGAATATACAACACAGATTATTTTTAAAATATAACTAACATAACTAACATTACCTTTCTGTCATTCAGCAGATTCAAATAGCGATTACATTAGCCGCAGCTTCGCTAACGTTACCGACCGTTCACTGATAAAGTCCCGTTAAAATATTGTGAACGAGAATCACAGTCTGAACTTCGGAAACAGCAGCAGAGCAGAATAAACACACATACGAGAGACGGACGCTTTGAGGACACAGCTTTATCATAAAACACTCTCTTTCTGAATTACAGCTGATACGACCGACACACTTTAAGCGAAGTAAACGCAGCACGAAAAGAGAGATACTTCACTGCGTGTGGAGATCATGCACGTAATGTTTCCCGTTTATGATGGGTAGCATTACTGACTGCTGCAGAGTGAAAACGTCATCCTGTGCGACAGTGTTTTACGCTTTGCGCTCTACTAGTTAAGGTGTACCGTAAGTGTCTGTGGTGCAACCGAAATTCTGAGTGTGGCTAATTTTAAACTAACTACTCTCAACGTGAGGTTTAAGATGGACTTTACACTCCAACTTATGATTGAACTTACGTTCAGCTGGTTGCTGGAGTACAATAAATGCATCATCAAATATCAATTTGAAATACCTTTCAAATCTAAACGTCTGTCCAACATCAATAATTGTCTTTAAACAAAATCTACAGATACTGATATGATCCCGATATCATCATGCGTTCCTAAAAAGAGGCTGGGAACCTCTGTAAATAACTGCTGTTGCACAAGTTTATTAACAGATCTGAACAGATTCAAATGTCACATTTCTAAAGGCGTATTTATTGGCAATCCTCCCTCTTGGACTCATAAGTGTATGTTTTAACACTCTGAATGACCCGCTTTGGTGTTTTTCCTGGCCCTTGGCCAAGCAGTGGAGGTTTAAAAACATCATAACTGGCTGCTGACGGAATGGGAAGTCCTGTCTCTGACCTGTGCTCGAATTACTCGCTGGTTATAACCAGTGCACGCACACTATGGTGCACTGGTCTGCTTAGGATGAATGTTTTAAACATTTAGGCTACACTTGAAGGATTAGGTGGACACTTGAATGTCCTTCAGCCTAACCTCCACCTGCAGCACATAATCGATTATCACAGACATTAATTTTAATCCCTGCACTGCAGAACAGAACAGCAGAACCAGAGCTTTTCTGAGTGCATCGTGAACATCGTCAGTACTTAAAGAACACTGAGCTGCAGGTTTCTTTGCACAGAGAGCATAATTAGGCCTGTTTAATTAGATTTAGTGCAGCGTTGTATAAAAACCACTGCAGCCATAGCGTTAATAGAACAGGTTAAATGTGGTGCCTTTTTGTCTGTTCCAACTTCAGAAAAACAAAATATGATGATACATATCATGTATCGTGAAAATGTTCTTAAGTATTGTGATAATATTTTTGCCATCTCGCCCATCCATAATTAGAAATACATAACAGGCAGCGAAATAACATAACAGGAGCCAAAGGGGGGCTGCTTCAGCACCTTTCAGCAAAAAGAATTTTCACTGTCAAAGTACCATAAACTTGGTCAATATCTGTATTTTGTTTTAAATAAATAAATAAATAAATGAAAAGAAACCATATGTACTGTATTTTAACACTGCTG